GATAAAAATATCAACCTGGAGAATGCAATGCAGATTCAGTTGAAATTTGATAGTAAAAAAAAAAAAAAAAGAAAAAGTACAATGTTATTTGTGTCTAAACCTTAGGTCACATTACATCAGCTTGTTCAGAAAACAGACTGAGAAAAGACATCAGCATAAAACTCCTTCCCAGGTAACATGTGGTACTAACTGCAACTGAGGAATACTGTGCATGGCTTTTGTAGATTCTGGATGAAAAACTCAACTGTGAATCAGTTGATCAGCTTTACAGATACACTGTGCTGAGTGTTAATGGGGGAAAACTCAATTAAATTTAGTGTTAACGTGGGGGAACCAAAACTGACATGTTAACGGGGAAACTAATGTGCTGAGCATTAACGGGGAAAAAATTCTTAGCGTTAATAAATTTTAATAAAAACTCATAATTTGCTGTGGAGATGGAAGTATCAACCTTGGAGAATACAATGTGGATTCAGTTTAAGTTGAAATTTTAATAGTAAAAAATAAGCCATTATATTTTGACCACCTCCTTGCAATTAATGCCATTAGCATGTTAGACAATGCCAAGATCCATCAATCATTTACAGTAAGTTTTACTAAGGAATACCTGAATATGCAGTTAATTTTGGATTCATTCTGAGCTGTTTTCTAGCCACAAAACCTACACATCCTGAATTTGAACTGGATTTTAAAACAGTTAATTTAAATTGTGAATTTATGATTATTGACATCTCCTCCAAACAACTGTGTGGCATTTACTCAAGTGTACAACCATGGGTGTACAGGTGATAATTTAATCTTCTACCCCCCCTCCTATTTATTCTACTGTAGCCATTGTCAATCTATACTGTAATATCAATATGATATCAAAATTTTAGTTCATTTTTTACTTTTTTGAATTATTTCACCACAAGCAAAGCTATAAAGCCACTAAGATGTAGGCATGTGAAAGAATAAGAATTGAAAACATTATTTCCTCCTTCAGACTAAATATAAATATCCATATATTTTATATATATATATATATATATATATATATAGCAGATACTTCAGACTAAATGTGGCGAGCAAATATATATATATATATATATATAGCAGTACCTTCAGACTAAATGTAGCAAATATATATATATATATATATATATATATATATATATATATATATATATATATATATATATAGCAGTAATTGGTAGGAATAGCAAGACTTCTTCATGATATTTGTTGTAGAGTTTGAGAGAGAAAAGAAATCAGTTCAGGAGCAAATTTCCTTGGGACAATTGCAGGGATTCCATCAAATCTACAAAAAAAATGGTAACTATACTCAATAAGAAAAAAAAAACAAGAAAAAGAGCAAATTCAAAAGATGTTTGCAACTTTCTTTTCACACCAAAAAAGGCAGGAAGTTAAAGATTTTGTATCTTAGACTAAATCAAAGATGGCTGAAGAACAAATTGAAATTCTGAAATTCTCAGTACTTGATGCGAGACAAAGAGAGAAAACATTGTTTCTGCAATGTCACATACAGAAATATGTTAGACATGTTGCCTACTTGAGGAATACATATTTCCTGACAAATCAGAAAATTCCAATACAATGCTTACTTTCCTAATTTCATTCATCATACAATGTATTTGTTTGTTTTTTTAATTGAAACAACCACTTTAGTTTCCTTTTTTTCCCATTCGGTCAGTTTTAGAATGACTGGAGTGACAAGGTGTAATCGATTTCTTTTTTTTTCTTCAGATTAGGTCATTTGCAGTCTTGTGCATAATTTGAATCTATTTTCGATTCTTTGTATGATGAAATTTGTTTGGCCTTGAAAAATACTGCATCATCCGTGATTGCAACAGATTTTTATCATACCCAGACACAATTGTCTTGACTGTTGATTAGTTGTCCTATGGCCATTGTCTGCAAGGGACGTTACTCTAAGGAAGTGTATGAAAATTATAATGCTGCATGAACACACTGGCAAGCCTTACCATTAAGCAAATCAAGGTTCTATAGACTGGCCCAGATACTCTCCTGATTTAAATCCAATCAAGAATCCATGTCCAATCTGCAAGGAACAATTTTGTGGAATGGACATACGAAGTATTAACATGTGCACTGGGTCATGTTTCATTGGAAAAATATGAAAAAAAAATAAATATGCACAATTTTATTATATCTTATTATTTAATATCCAAATGCAAAGCAATTTCTAAAAATTTAATGAATTTTAATTTTTAATCTGACATAAAGGCAAAATGGATTCTTGCTTTATTGTGAAGCTCAAATATATAAATGGTAAAAATATATCAAGCATTGGTTCCTCCTGAAAAGGGTGGTGAGGCTTGAATCCTACTGGAGGCACACATTTTCTTTATTAAATCAAATATGCAGACTGGTAGATGAAATAAATTTTGTTTAAAATAACAAAAAGCATCTTCTTAAATATGAGTTATCCACTAAAATAACATTTGAAGTAATAAAACATATATACATATGTTTTTATTATATATCCAATACAACATCTCTGAAATGAGGTATCGTTGATTATTTAATTATTTACATTATTCAGACTGTTATTCTCATTTTCATTGCCATATTCACAAACGTTTTCGGCCAACAAACGCCCGGCCTTTCTGTCTAAATGTCTCTATATATCTGTCTAAATCTGAGATGAGGTATTATGATTACTTGCATTATTTACATTATTCGAATTGAAATAACTGATATTTACTGATATCTTACCTTGTTCTCTTTTTAGTAATCTTCCTTTATTGTTAGTTCTGTTTCCACAGCTTGAGTTCATAATAACTCAGCCAAGAACTGAACTCACAAGGCTACCAAATTTACAAACAAATACTTTAACCCACTAGGCTACTGTCCTGTGGTTCAATCTTCTGGAAGTGTCTTCTCATGAAAATTGGCTTTCCCATACATTATAGCTCAGGATTCAGGGTTGGACATTAGGAATTTGGGGACAGCAATACAGGACTGAACAGTTGTGGAAAGGGATTATCAATGGAGTTCTGACCAACCACAGGGAGGACAAAGGATGGTGATGATGATTGATATTCATCCTAAATGCAACACAAAATTCATCAAACAACTGTGTTAGGGGCGGGGGGGTCTTCCATATCACATATTCCACTAAGGAAAGGCATGGAGCCATCTCACCTCATTCCAACTACAGATTAGATAACAGGCCCATGGGTACGTAGCCTTTTATGGTCAAATATATATCAACATGGGATGTACAGGTAGAGTAATGGTTATCAACATAACAAGTAGAATCAGTAAACAAAGATCAAATTTTGGCCTAATCAGTTGCATTCCCTTTCACACAAATGCCCTTGGGAAAGGCATGAATCCATCTCTCCATTATCAAGCTATGAATTGAATAACAGGATAGACTTGGATGCCTGGCCTTGTGTGGTAACCAGAGAAAGAAAACAGTTCCAAAGCTAAAAAGGCAACAGGTGAACTACTCCAGTATCTTTCTCAAAAATATTTCTATATCTCTAAGATCAGATATTATGATTACTTGCATTATTTACATTATCCAGGCTGTTATCCTCATCTTCATTGCCATATTTTAGCTGTTGTATACTCCAGCATTCTTCAGGTGATTGGAATTTCAAACCAAACCTTTTATTTCATCCACTGGGGTAGGTTGTTCTAGTTCCACATGCCATGTCTCTTTCAGGTGTCTCAGTTATTCCTCTTTAACTCAACTCTCCAAGTTTTTGGTTCACCACTGCAGTGCCGTGGTATTGAACTCACAACTCTTTGGGTCTAGTCACTGGATCTAACCAATGTCTTTCGGTGAACGAAATAAAGGGTTCGGTTCGAAATTCCAATCACCTGAAGAAGGCCAGAGTATACAATGGCCGAGACATTGTGAATATGGCAATGAAGATGAGGATAACAGTCTGAATAATGTAAATAATGCCACTTTTTCAAGAAGTTATGTCAATTCACAAATAAAAAAAAAGGAATCTGTGGGAAGCCAGGATTGTCCATGTCCTGAAGAGACATAACTTTAAAAAAAAATAAATAAAAAATAATGGTTTAATCCAAGTATAAACTTGATTTTACAATTCTTATCTATAAATGTTAACAGGCTTTTCCACAAATTCATAACAAAACCTGATCTCTAAATCTTATTTTAAAAAAATGGATAAAAAAAGCTTTTTATCCTTCATCATACCCAATTCTACAATTTCAAGCCTTAACAGAAAAGTATTTTAATCAGATATCTATTTTAAGAAATTGCAAATTTCTGCTGGATTAAAAGGTAAAAGAAAAACATCACACACAGAGATTTTCTTATATATGTAAACATAATAAGTTATTTTCCCATGGGTATGAAACTTACCTTGTCAAAAAAGTCAAGAATTGATACTAGATAATTCATTAAAGAAATGTTTGAAATATTTCCAAATAATATCTTATCTAAAAATTTTATGGAAAACATTTGCATTTTGCTATAAAGAAAAAAAAAACACTAAATAAACTTCAAATACAGAATCACTATTTAAATCTTTTCAATAAAAGTGAAGCAGATGAGAGATAAGAAAGAAGCAAGCTTATGTCGATGATTGCACAAAGTGCAAGTAATAGCAGTGATCATTTGCTTGATGGAAGGCTATTTCACATCATCAATATTACTTGCTACTCAACAGCAAATCTAAAGCCCATTATCATTAGTGCAGCTCCTGGTGTTATGGCTAGGAACAAATCTTGGAGGTCGGTGGTGAGGGCAGGAAGTACGACTACATGTTTTATACTGCAGCAGCACATACAAGAACGAGAGTAGCAAGAGAGGGAGTGCAATAAACAAGGCTAAAGCAACAGTCTTTTAATGAGACATTCACAGGAAAGAGAGTGTAATTGCGTGCATGAAGGCAAAGCATGTGCATTGTGTGCACATCTGAGGAGACAAGTGGAGGTGCAAGAAGTTCATATGCACATGTCTGATTAGAGCATGAACATGTGAAGCACAAACATCAGCATTTGCTTGTTTTGTTTTTTGTTTTTTCAAGGAGAGAGAGAGAAGAGAGAACGGATGAAAGAGAAAAGAGGAGAGAACGGGCGAGAAAGAAAGAGAAAAGGAGAGGAGAGAACGGACGAGAGAGAAAAAGAGAGAAGAGAAGAGAGAGAGAGAGAAGAGAACGCACGAGAGCGAGAGAGAGAAGAGAGCGCACGAGAGAGAGAGAGAGAAAGTAGAGAACGCACGAGAGAGAGAGAGAGAAAGTAGAGAACGCACGAGAGAGAGAGAAGAAGAAGAGAGAACGCACGAGAGAGAGAGAAGAAGAAGAGAGAACGCACGAGAGAGAGAGAAGAAGAAGAGAGAACGCACGAGAGAGAGAGAAGAAGAAGAGAGAACGCACGAGAGAGAGGGTGAGGAAGGAGGAGAAGGAACGAATAAAAGAGACACGGAGGAAGGGGGGGAACGAATGGATTAGACAAAGATAAGGAGAGAAGGAGAACGAACGAAAAGGAAAAGAAGAATAAGAAAGAGGAGGGGAGAAAAAAAGAGAGAGAGAGAGAACCATAGGAAAAAAGAACGTAAATAGTAGTTAGTTTAGCATTTAAATGACATCGGATAGTCGAGATGGAGAGTCCAGGTGGGAAGGATACAAAAAGTCAATGTTGGGGTGTGAAACACAAGGAAGCAGGCACACCTATTGCGTATCATCACATGTTCAAATAAATAAGAAACAGACCACAGGATGAATAATAATAATAATAGTCTTTTTTTTCTTTTTATCTAAGCATGTATGTATTGTACAATAACGGTTCCTGATATTCCAATGCAGTTGAGTGCAAAAAGTCATTCCGTGATAGGATTTTGAATAAAAAGGTCTTCTTAAATAATCAGAGGTCACCTTTTAAAAGTCCGTTTTCCTTTTTTCATCTCCCCCCCACCACCACAACACACGAAGCATTCATTTTTGTTTCTTTGTAAAGAAAAAGAAAAACCGAAAAGTAAAATTAAAGAAACAAAAAAAAAAAAGTGTCGAATATTTCTCAGCAGTAGCAGTCTATTGCAGATGGGACTCCTCACATGGTATTCTTCTCTAACCAGCCTAGATGCCGATTCTTAAGTTCAAAGCAAAACTAATGTTTTCAAGATCATTTATTTTATAGTAGTAGTAAAAAAAACTGGTTCATTTTAGAGAAGAAAGAGTAAAAAGAATTTATCTTTATTCTTTTTATTTTAAATTGCAAAGGATTTTTAAATTTTAACAGTACTTTATTTAAAAATAAAACGTGTGTACAAGAAAGACGCGAAAACACTTCATAAATTTTTAAATTCTCTTAATAATAATAATAATTATTATTATTATAAACTTGCTGTCACATGATCTTCAGTCAAAGTCGTGTTACTGCGGGTACAAAGACTTTAATGAGGAAAAAACTACATTGTGTTTTTGCATCAGAACGTTGTTCGAAAAAATTGTCAGAAATGATTTAGTCAGTGGAATAGTCCAAAAAAGTCCATGTAAAAGAAATTGGAACAGTTAAAAATGATCTAGAGAAAAACTGAGAGAGTGCAGATCGCAACTCTGTTGAAGTCTTCTAGAATTTCGAAGAATGTACTGGAGAGGTGAAAAGATGAATTCGAACCATTACTCGACCCCCACCCTCTTGTAATAAACACTTAGTGTTAAAAAAGAAAGTAACTAATATTAACAATTTTAACATGAAGTCTCTACTAATTATGATAAGTCACTCTCTACTAATTTATGCATACTTTCATTTTCAAAGGATTATTATTTCTTTCCAAATGGAATAAGTGAGAAAAGGTAGCTTTTTAGAGTTTTTCTTATGTCATTACACATTACATCTCGTTTTTAGATGAGTCCTGATAAGAGAAAAAGAGAGAGAAGGAAGAAAGAGAAACTAAAGAGAGAAAAGAAAGAAAGAAAGAAAATTTCAAATGTTTGTTCTTTGCTTTCAATCCTTAGCTCTACCACTGAACAAGCCATACCTGTTGTAAAAAACCCTAGGGCACCTTCCGCGAAGTAATTGCGAGAGCACGCGCATCACACAGACTGTTTGTTAGTATAGAAAGTTTGTTATTATCACTGCTACACAAAACTGTAAATATGTGTATGATGACAATGGTTAGTAAATAAAGCCAAAACAATGCTCTTTGACTTAGTTATTAAAAATCTGTTTCACTCCCATAATGAAAGACTTTCTTTCACTTTCTTTCAGTTGTTACCTTTCAAAACTTCCCCATTCAAAAAAAAAAAAAAAAAAAATGTAAAAAACGAACAGAATCCATTAAACATTGACCGTAGAAAGTCGTAACATGAAAATTAACTCTCAGCTCAGCATTTCGTTGTTGTGATGTCCAGGTTTGACTTTCAATTTTATTTGACATCAATAAAATTTTGCTATGGCCTTGTCTGCATTGGTCGTCATGGCTCATCTAGTAAAGATGTTGCTTAATCAGCTTTTAATTCCGTAAAATTTGGAGTTTTTTTTATATAGATAATTTTTTTGCGATTAAGGATCACTAAAAAAAAGAGTCTTTAACTAGCAATCGTTAATCGCACAGTTGGTTTGGTTCTCTAAGGATGCAGTGTATTTAGGTTTATAATAGCTCAATCAGAAAGCAGATGTCTTTCCTTTGGTGACTTCAAAAAATAAGTTATATCCAAAAACCACAAAAAAAATGTAGATAAATAAATATTTTAATACTGTTTTTTTCGAGTTTAAAATTTTCAGTTCAAAGTTAGTGAAGAAAGATGCTTCTCTATCTTTCGAATAATCTCATAAAACTAAAAAAGGAATATTCTTAGATTAATGATTATTTATTTGAAAGTAGAGTATTTTTTATGCAGTCCTCTTTATTGGAAATCAAATTATATACGCATATTCTTTCATTTTCAAAGTCATTTTCTTTCAGAAATGATACGCATATTTTTTTTATTTAGAAGATGATGAAATTCGCCAGTTGTGATTCGTTTGAACAAAGTTTCTTACCATTCATTTATGCAGAAAAAAATAACGAAAAGTTGTTTTCAAGAATTTTTCAACTGAAATGAATAAAAATGCTTATTTTCTATGTATAAATTTCAATATTTTATTAAAAATTTATATTTTGAAAAACTGAAGTGACTAGTAAAATATGTCCAAAAAAGTCTATATTTCTCAAGTGATTCCTGGCAGTGAATAAAACAGTTTGGGACAAATTAATTTACGTACCACGATTCTCTAAGTAAAATGTCCATTTATCTACGTCAGTATTAGATAGAAAAGTTTGGCTTTTAGAAAGTTATCTTGATCTTATGAATAAGATTTACATCCGAATGAGGAAAATGTTTAATTTAAGTTACAAAATTGAAAATAATCGTGATATGACGAAGAGAAACAATATTAGGAGGATAGACGGGTAGCCAATAGTACACAGAGGTGACCTCTGTAGAAAAATAAGAAAGAAAGGAAGAATACAGTTTCTGTTCATTTGGATAATTTTAAAATGCAAATAGTAAAAAGAAAGAATTTAAAAAACCTCCTTCGACGCTTTACAAAAAGCAAAACGCAAATTATTCAAGTAGTAACTTCTTAGGGCAAAAAGAAATGAACGAAAAAAGCTAAAAATACAAAAAAAGAAAAAGAATTTCAATATTTTTTTTTTCCTTCCATTCATTCAAAGAGTCTGTTTTTAGAGATTTTTTTTTAACAACATTAGTATTATTTGAACAGCTAAGAAGAACTACCGACTAAAAGAGTTTTGGGGTGTTTTTTTATGCAACTTAAATAACTATTGCTTATTTTCTCTCTATTAGTATTTTTATATAATCTTTTTAATTTTTCAAAGTTAAATATCTCTCTTCTAATAGTTTCAGGTTAATGAATGAGTCGTAAAAAAGCATCAATCAATAAAAATCTAACAACTTAAGATTTTGGCCTTAATAATGGTTGACTGAGTGAAATTACTGATTATCCAAAGGCTTCAGACGCACTGCAGAAAACGGTAAAAAAAAAAGCTATGTAATAATAAGTAATCAATAAGAACAGACTAAGAAGAGAAAAGTTGTCTGCTACAAGGAAAGCGTGTATGTTTGCTAAAAAAATATAAAAACTAAAACATGTGATAATATTATTACATTTTTAACGAATGGGTGAGGATATTTTGTAACATTTTTTTTTTGTTTTTACTATAAAGGTTTGGTTTAAAAACAGGTTATAATTTCTATTTTTATTTATCAAATTTTATCTACAACTCCAAAAAACTACATTATTTCCATATGAAAAGTTTGTTTTTTTCTTTACGCTATTTTAAAATAAATATTTTTTATTTTTAACCAGTAAAGACAATGTGAGTAACCCACCATAAGTTTTTTTTAATATGATGTGTAGTGTACTCAAATCTACTGTATGTATAAAAAAATTTATAATGAAATTGCGGCAACATCTATTCTAAAGGGACCGAAATAAGTTAATAATGCGATGATTCATTTATTTTTTTTTTTTTTGTCAAAAATGAATTCTAAAATTGTTCAACTGATGGGAGGAAAAAATTAAAATTTTTGCCTTCATGACCTGATGCAATACTAACAAATTTTAACAAAGAAAAAAAAAGATTCCAACTTCTCTCTTCAAGTAGCAATGACTATCTCGATATTTCAGTACAATTTTTGGAAAAGGGACAATACAAAGCCATTCATTCAAGTAAAAGCAAAAAAGTGAAGGCGGACATGAACAATTACTAGAAATTATCTTATTCTTGTGTAAAAAGATACTATTTTCCTCAAATTTTTACATTGAATAAATTATGACTGTTTTAATTTTATTCATTAGAAGAAAAAAAAAATACGTTAATAAAAAGAGCAATTATTGTAGCCCTTGACTGCTGGCATTCTTTTCTCGTGTGACCCCCAACAAAATATGCCCACTTTCACTTTTAAGGATTCTACGTTAAATTCTTTACTTTATTTACATATTTTACTTTTATAAACATTTTATTTTTCCTTCTTCTGACCTTGCAAATTCCCCTTGACCTTGCCAGGCTCCCTTTTCCAAAATATTGATTTTCATACCGTCTTCTGAGCAAACGGTTTTTTGATTTTTTTTTTTTTAACGTTCACAACCTGAAGACAATTTCATTAAGGTTTTTACTCGAGGAAATAAACAAAACAAAAACGACTAAGGTAAATATTGGCAAACAAAAAACAAAAACTCAGGGCTCACTTTACTTGAAGGTAAGTATTAAGCACTGACCCCTCACTTTGTGACCATAAGGGTGAATGTTTCACTAAAAATCTCGATTTGACCGTGTGTAAATTCACACAGGTAGAAGAGAAAGAATTATTACTGATGTGATGAAGAAAAAGGTATTTTCTCTGTAGTAATTATCAGGACATTATTGAATCCAGTCATCTAATCATTTTCAAGTTCAAATTTTATAAAATGCTAATGCAATGTGTTTAGTTTACGGGTGCAAACGTAAGTACAGGTTTTAGCCGTTTAGAGAGAGTCATATTTTCTTTCAACAATGCTTTGTGTTCAACAAAAAAAGTCATGCTTTAAATAAAAA